CGATGGGAGATAGCATGCCTCTTAAATTAACATTAATGTGTGAGAAAATATTACATCTGATTCATGTCACTAATTAATTTACTCAGATGGAGAGTTAAATCAATACAAACAAATTAGACTAGTTCAGTAATTATATTAAAACATGACATCTTCCATGGGGAAGAAATGCAAATAATTATAACTAGAAAGTAATAAAAAACCACTCACAAATTAATTCATATAATTAAAATAAATTAATTATAATCAATGCAAAAATAATATATTTTAAGACAATTTTGCAAAAAAAATTAACATTGTTTTGGTTGAAAATGTTAAAATTTAGTTGTTCTGGGTCTAATTTAGTGTTCTGGTCTATTTATGCAAATAAATTAAAACATTCTGGGTTTATCTTGAAAAAATTCTGGGCCATTTCGCAAATTTCAGAACTCGTTTGGACTATTTTGCATAAAACAGAAACTATTGGGCCAAAATTGCAAAAACCGGAAAAATTCTAGGCAATTTTAATAAAACCAGAAACAATTAGGGTCACTTTATAATTTAAATAACTTCAGGGGGTCAAAACGGAATAACTGATACTTTCTGGGTCAAAATATAAAAAATTAAAGTTCAGGGGTTAAAATATAATAAACAGAAGATCTATGGTCAAAAAAATAAAAATTTAAAGATCAGGGGTCAAAATATAAAATTTTAAAAAATTGAGGGATCAGAGGGGAATTTTGGCAAGCAGCAGCTTCTTCTTCACGAAGAAGCCCTAGCCGCCGCCCCTTTTCCCTTCAACCTCCATTAACGCCGCTGCCTTCTTCTTTTTTTTTTTTTTTTTTTTTTCTTGCCCCTCTTTTATGATCTTCAAAACAAAAATAAAAAATTTTTGTCTGTTCTTGCCCCTCTGCTGTTCATCGAAACAAAAAACAACACCCAAAATATATATATATATATGGTTTTTTTTATATTAATTGCCCATAAAACTACAGTTTCAAAAACAAAAAGTTTGGTTATCAGTACTGCACTTTTGTGTTGCAGTCCATTCAAACTCTTGAAGCTCTCTTAACCATGTACCATCAACAATCAAAACAGATAATAGATACACGATTGAACATGACAAAATAGCCACCATTCATAACAGTTTCGTATGGCTCTGATACCAATTGATGGGAGCGGGTATAAAGCGGAACAAACCCTTATCGAAACCATTGAGGCAAACTTAGAAACCATTATCGAACATCATAACTGACTTTGAAGCGCAGAATCGCTCACGGTCTTCTTTTCAAGGAAGATCTTGAGTCACCCACGATCTTCTGCAGTAATCCCTAAAATCCCTAACTATCTCTCTGAGTGGCAGAGAATAGAATAACGTGCGTCTCTCTATTCTTAGGGTTTTCAAATCTTATATTAAAAAAAACTCTCTTCGATAGAAAGATATTTTTTTTTAATATAAAATAAATTAAATAAAAAATTATTTAATTAAAATAATTATCAATTATTTTAAAACTGAATAATTTATCTATTATTTAATACACCCTTAACTTTCCAAATAATTAGGGCACTACAGGGACCTCAGGAATAAAATAAATCAGGCTACTAATTATAATAATAACCTATGTAGACCAACATATTCTTATTATAATTAATCATGAATTATTCCACTAAAAACTCATGATCTGAACTTCCTTATTTATTTTTTTTACTTATTCCACAAACATAAATAAAATAATGTTTCCCCTGTTAAGATTAAGATGCCTGTCATTTAAATAACTATACTGACAATTTTATTTAAATCACAATATAACTTTAAATTGTCGCTCAAACTTATTTCATGTGTCGGTTCATATTCACCTGCAGGGTTTACACTTATGAAACCTTATAAGCTTACTTAAGTGCATCATCAAACTCTAAAACCGAACATTGGATTCTTTCATATATCATTAATTTAATATTTCACAACACAAAAATCTTTGCCCAATTCACCGAGGGAATATTATTACCAATTAATGAAACTTCGACCCTTAATGAATAAAGCACCAAGACAATCAAATGTTGCTCATATTAAATAAATCAAGATAAGAAGTAATAAACATTTTTAATGTCCTAGAGACTTATGTTTAACAGTCAGTACTAAAACATCCATTCTCACTATGGTCCAATTAAATACATACCAAAATGTACTAATGACAATTAGTATCCATATGCTAATAAACAATTTATTTTAATGGCAAATTTCCAATTAATACAAAGAAATAATTGTCAATAGAAACATCATTCATAGCTATACTATTAATTATGCATGGGTAATAAGTATATCTCTATCAGGAACATCTCCAATTTCTAGATATGAGCTCTAATGATCTAAGATGGTACATATGCCGAGGTGCTTGGCAAATATGAACATCCCTTCAAGTTTAGATGTTTTGACAATCATTTTACTGGAAAACAATCATTTTACTGGAAAAATCTTCCCCCTTGGTGGATTGACATCCATTCAATATTTAAGTCTTTCAGACAATCACTTTGAAATCCCGATTTCATTTGGTCCATTCTTCAACCATACAAAACTCAAGTATTTTTATGGGAGGGATAATGAGGTCTATTCAGAAATAAAAGTATACAATTCGATTCCAAAATTCCAATTAGAGAGTCTTATGTTATCTAGTCTGGGATACGGTGGAGTCTTTCCCAAATTCCTCTACTATCAGCGTAACTTAAAAGAAGTTGATCTCTCAAATAATAAACTGGAGGGAAGCTTTCCAATTTGGTTGTTAAAGAACAATACAAAACTAGAAAAACTTTATTTAGCCAATAATTCTCTTTCAGGACATTTTCAATTGCCGATTCATACGAGCCTATTAAGGTTAGATATCTCCAATAATGATTTCAGTGATAGCATTCCCAATTCATTTAGCAATGTCAGCTTCTTGGAATATTTAAAATTGGATGGAAATCAATTCATAGGAAATATTCCAAACAGCTTATCCAATTGTTCCTTCTTGGAATTGCTAGATATCAGTGATAATCATCTCTCAGCTGTTATACCAGAGTGGATGGGCAACATGCCTTCTCTTAGAGTTTTGGACCTTTCAAGAAACATCATCTCTGGAAATCTACCATCAAACTTCAACCCTCCACAATTATTACATGTTTACTTATCTGAAAATAGAATACAAGGAACAATCTCCTACAAGGAACAATCTCCAAGGCATTCTACAATTGCTTTCAATTGGAAGTGTTAGATCTTAGAAATAATTTGTTGAACGGAACTATTCCAAAATGGATTGGCGAGAGACTTTCTTTTTTAAGCTATGTTTCCTTGAGTTATAACAATTTTGAAGGTCAAATTCCAAACCAGCTTTGCAATTTGGAATTTTTACAATTAATTGATTTGTCTAACAATAATCTTTCTGGTCATATCCCTCCTTGTCTGAAGTTGAGAGGGCAACGTAGAATTAGAATAGAAGCATCTACACCAATTAATTCTATAGAACTTACGCTAAATCCTCTAGAATTTACAACAAAGTGGATGACATATTCTTTCCAACGAAGCATTCTTTTCTTCTTTTCTGGAATAGATCTTTCCGCCAACAAATTGACTGGAGAAATTTCTCATGAAATTGGAAAGTTTGAGAATATGCAAGTGTTGAACCTTTCTCACAATAGTTTGACGGGACAAATTCCAACAACATTTTCCAACCTCAGTCAGATAGAGAGTTTGGATCTTTCTTACAACAAGTTGAACGGAAAAACCCCTACTCAGCTTGCTCAACTAAATTATTTAGCAGTTTTCAGTGTAGCATTTAACAATCTATCTGGAAAGACACCTGATAGAGTTGCTCAATTTGCCAAATTTGATAAGAGTAGCTATGAGGGAAATCCTTATCTTTGTGGACTTCCATTACCAAATACTTGCAGTGCAACATTATCACCACCATTGATGCCTAGAGTTTCAACAGATGAAAAACAAGAGGAGAATGGCTTCATAGACATGAATATTTTCTTTATTAGCTTTTTAGTAGCATACTTGATGGTACTATTGTCAATAGCTTCAGTTTTGAGTATAAACCCTCAATGGTGACGAGCATCGTTTTGGTTCGTTGAGGTATGCATTACAAATTGTCAATATTTTCTAGAAGACAATGTTTATGTTCTATTCAAGTTCAAACTTCCATAGTCACTTTTAACATCTTTGTGGTTTTATGATGATGAATGGTACTTGTAATAATTAATTTATTAAATTATATCTCTCTTAATTTTTCATAAAGTTCTATTATTTATTTGTGTTTTTTCTTCACATCTTTTCTCAATATCGCATGTCCCCATATCTCTAATAAGATTTTTTTATTATCATAATTTCGTAAAACCAAATAGTAGATTTGTGGATTAGAAAAAAATATTTGCTGGGTTCATTTTTTGTGAAAGCAATATTAATTATTATTGCCATTAAAATATTATTTACTTTTAACCTATTTACTTTTAACCAACATTAACAAATTAAAACATCATCAATGTTAGACAAACAGCAATGCGACTTCTCATTTAATTATTATTAGTAATATTCAAGTGAGAGGGATGGGATTATTACAATTAAAAAAAGAAAATGATAATTATATAGAGAAAGTATTTATTTTGACGGTGTCCAGTGCGACCTTGCCACTTTGAAAACACTGGAAGTTAATGGCAGAATAATTTTTGAGCTTTCTGTATTGCTGCGGTCTTTTTTCATCAACCAAAGCTTTTAAAGGTTCAATCTCTACTTCTGAATTGGGCAAGTGAAAAATTGCTAGGGATATTCTATCCTTCTCTGAACTTGTCCTGTGCAATGGGCTCTTGAAGATTCCACTTGGCTCATTATCTGCTTTATTTAGGGCCCGGCAATAAATTACGAGAATAATTAAGCAGCGAAAAAATAGGAAATATGACACACAGAATATTTACGTGGTTCACCCTCAACTGTTTAGGCTTCGTTCATGGGACAAACTCCGGAATCTTATCCCACTATTAAAAATAGTAGGTACCAAAGAGAGTAATACAAAAATGTTGACACACAAAGTGTTTCCCAAAAAACACCTCATATATTTTTTCACTATGTTTCCCAAAAACACCTCATAATAATTTTTTCACTATTTTCTCTCCCTTAGTTTTAGGAAACCCTTCCTAAAACTAGATAACTAACTCGCTACATTTTTTCTCTTTGTTCTGTGTGTATTGAGATGGCTGAGCCATCTCCTATTTATAGGAGAGGGTGGACGCGTTAATTACGCGTCCACCGAATCCTAACGCGTCCACCGAAAATAAATTTTCCTCTTCCTTTTTCAACTACGTGTGGGTCCTACCACGTTTTCCATTTCTTTTTTTTTTTCAAATGTGGATCCCATTTGAGTGGGCACCGCACAACAATTTAATTGTCCATAATCCATATTAGTCTTTAATTCTAATTCATATGTACCATAATGAAATGACATATTATTTCAAGTTTCAACTATTTTAAGATGTAACACGAATAATCAAGTCGATCAAATTTTAATTTTTATGCTTGTGTTTTGCCTTATATATATACTTGAAATACTTATGCTCAAATCAGTTATCATTAAATATTTAAACTAATCGACTTATTATCTATTAATATTAAAATAAAGTTTGAATAAAATTTAACTGTAAATTTTAGTTAATTTAATATATTTAAAATCTAAACACTCAGTTGTAATTTTAGAACCATAGAAATTATTTTAGTAGTAATTATTTTTTTAGTTATTACAATTATTAGATGTATATAAATTGTTCTATACTGAATTTATGGGTAAGAGTTTTAGTCGTGTAGGGTCAAACCAACGAGAAATTATACATATAAATCTTGGGAAGAAAACAAATTAGGATTACCTGGCTGAGATTAAAAAAATAAAACCCTAAGATTCATGATTCAATCATTTATTTATATTAATTTTAGAGAAGGATTAGTTGTCGTCATCCATAGTAGGTATAAGATTTTTAATTAAGTAGTTAATTAATTACCTGCATTTGATCGCCGGCATTGACAACAAAAGCGTGAGGAATGATGGGAACTCTATGCCATTGATCATCTTTGAACATTTGAAGACCTTCTACTTCTTTATCTTGTAAAAGAAACGTTATTGCTGATCCATCTGAATGTGCTTTAACACCAAGAACTGAGTCTGGTCTTGGACATGTAGGATAGTAATTAAATCTAGCTGCCATTTACCTCTTGTACCATATTGTTTCAAGAAGCTATCTTCTTCTAAATTCAATGATCTTGCCATTGCTTTAAGAAGAAGTCCACGTTGTTTCTTCATTTTTACTGACATTCATCAGTATTCTCTGCCAAGAACAAATTTAATTTCTTGAAAAAATAGACAAGAAACTCTAACAATTTCTTTGAATTGGAATATAACAGGAAAACGCATGCCTATAATACTATAATAGGGTTTTTCTGTACCTAAATTTGAGTTGGATGGTAGGCCAAAGATGAACTTTCTTGAGCTTGTTGGTACCAGTTTAGAAAGAGACGATCGACACCAGTCATAAACTTGCTTTATCAGAAGAACGGGTCATTCCCATATCCTTCCATATCGTGACTTCTCTACTGTATTTCTTTTGGTCACTTGCTGGGAAGTGCAAAGACTGTTTTGCAACAATTCAACGTATTTTGTCAAGGAAAGAATCTGAATACCATGACCTATAGACCTGTAACTTAACAAATCAAGAAATATTCTCCAGAAATCCAGTTAAAATCCAGTTCTTGGAAATCAAATCTTTTGTATATGTGTAAAATGTAAAATGTAAAAGAAAACAAAAATAAATTAACCTGGAAGCAACCCCAAGAAGTTAGGGCTTCTTTAAGTTTCTGAAGCTCTTCAATTCCTTCTTTAGAAGATGATGATAGTAGACTGAGATTTATGACAGGAATTGAGAGTAATGGAGGAGAAGGGTTTGGGATTAGTTCTTCGATTATATATTTTGGAGGTGGTTCATCTCCATCATTTGATATTTCTTGTACAGACTTAGACATGGTGAATCTTCAATTAATGAACTCCAGTGTTAAAATATAAGTGATGATCATACAGCTATAGTTAAAAGTTAATTTGGAAGAGGAAAATTAATAGAAGTATGACGAATATTAGGTGGAGATGAGCACAGGTTATGCCTCGAAATAAACGACACTTCCTTTATTTTTTCCTCCAGAAAACGACTATTGGAGTTTAGAACTATGAAAATTTGTCGATTACGAAGGCTACGCAGCGGTAAAGCCAATAATGAACAATGTTAAAATTTTATTGAACCAGCAGAAAATTCAATGATTTGTTACATATAAATTGTCAATAAACATAAAAAATAATACTTCAAAATAATACTTCAAGTAATTAAAATTATTATGCTAAATGTTTGTTCTTACATGTGCAGTGGCCTAGGATAGGATGTGATATGAAATTGTGATTTAAACTTGGAATATGTAAATATGTGTGAGTAACATTGTATTTTTCATTTTTAGTAATCAAACGGTATCCTCTCTTCCCTATTAATGGAAGTATAATCCCTTTTTGGGCCAAGCCACGATCATATTTAAAGTTTTTCTAAGATATTGACTCTATAATTCGATTTTTTTTATTAAGATATATTCGGCAAAATTAGCTGTTTCGCAGCTGTTAACAGGTTTAGTAGCATTTTGCTATTAGTTGTTTGAGTAGTTTTTCATAAAATATTAAAAGTTACATGAATTAACTTTTCACAATATGTTACCTTAATCTCTAAAAGTTAGTTTAAACATTAAAACATTATGTTATCAAACACTACAAAAAATACTGTTTAGTATTTTGACTAAAAGCTATTTAAAAAGTTGTCAGTCTAAATTTAAGTTGTAGTACACTCTAACCACTAGATGAAGTGTTAGACCAATATCAATTATACGGGCTAGAGGCTATTGAAGGATAATTATATTATTTGCAATTTCTTTGGCTAGGCAAAATGGAGTTGCAGTTGTAGCAGCCATGGTATTCCTACTTAAAAAAAAAAAAAAGAAACGAAAAGAAAATTAATACAGGTGTTTTTGCTAATCATGATTTAGAAGACTACACTTTTCTATTTATATATTGAAGTTTTGAGTCGTCTAATATTTAAGCAAAATAAAGAAATTAATCATGGGCTGCTAGATTATCCACTCAATCATTATAATTCCTTATCTTGCATCACAATTATTAGAACAAAACATATAAAAATAGGAGAATTCATGGATTAAGTTTGACCAAGTCAAGCGGTGCAATTCCTTGAAAAAGGCTGTCATAATAGAATCCACGATAATCCTTAAGTCTCATATATTGCTGAGGTCTATTTTCATCCATTAGGCTCTGAACCGGTCCGATCTCTACCTCATATTTGGGCAAGTGAAAGGCTGCCACTGATATTCTTTCCTTCTTTGACTCCACTATTACCCTATGCATTGGGCTCTTGAAGATTCCATTACTTATTATCTATATGAAATTTTACATTTTCAACAAATTAATTATTTTCATCAAATATAAATAATTATTTTCATCAAATATAAACTAAAATTGATTAATATTTCATCTAACATTTTAGATAAAACTTATAATGTACGAATTACTGCATGGCCATCAAGTTAGAAATTAATTCATACATATTACTTTTCTTCAGTTCAGCCACAAACGTAATATGTAGGAGTCAAAACTTCATACCTGCAACTGGTCCCCGACATTGACAAATAATGCATCAGGCAGTATGGCAACTCTGAACCACTGACCATCTTTCAGAACCTGAAGCCCTTCCACTTCTTTATCCTGCAAGAGAATTGTTATTCCTGATCCATCCGAATATTCCTGATCCATCCGAACGAGCTTCAGCTCCTACAACTATGTCTGAACTTGCAGCTTCTGGATAGTAATTAAACCTCGCTCCTATCAATTCTTCATCTCGTACGCATTCAAGAAGCAATTCTTTTCTAAATTCAGCGATCTTGCCATTGCCTTTAGAAGAAATCGTGATGTACTCTTCATTATTGCTGAGTATTCGTCTAATACCTCTCTGCAAGTTTTTCAGAAGTTTTATAAAAATTATTTTGAGAATATGGGGAGATGTAATAGCTTCCTCGAACCCATGACCTCTAGGTCAAAATTATATATATAAGTTACCTGAAATCTGTAGGATTGCATGGCCAACGTTCAATCCTTCGTTTATTTTCTGGAGCTACCTTAAGCAGAATGCGTTCAGACTGATTAAAAATGATCTTTTTGGAAACATTTAGATCGTTTCCATATCCTTGAAGACTGTTAGCTTCTCGATCATACTTATGCCTTCAAGACTGTTAGCTTCTCGATCATACTTATGTTTCTCTTCCATTAGAAGTGCAAAGAACCGTTTTGTAATTTCACGTACTTTATCAAGAAATGAACTTTCTACTCTATGCCCAACAGCCTGCATATTAGTTTATATAAACCATCAAATTCAAGAACATGGTTGTAAGAACTAAAAGAGAGTAAAAGAAATGCTAGTAAGCTTTAACTATGAATGTGACCCCTAATAGAAACCAAATTGAAAAAAGAAATAAGGTAAGGTTTCAAGAAAAGAAAAACCTGAAAGCAACCCCAAGAAGTGAGAGCCAATTTCAGTTTTTGAAGCTCATTTTCTCTTTCTTTAAAACAAGAAGATAGCAGACTGATGTCAATGATAGCAGACTGATGTCAATGATAGGAATTGGGGCTAGTGGAGGATAGTTATAATTATTTGCAATTTCTTTGCCTAGACAAGATGGAGTTACAATTGTAGTAGCCATGGAAATCCTATTCTAAAAGAATTAATACAAGTGATCTAGCTAATTATGATTTAGAAGAGAAGACCATAATTTTCTATTTATCGTGCAAGGTTTTGAATTTTCTAATCATTAACCACAATTCAAAAATTATGGCTGCTAGATCCACCGCCAATGCCTATCGCAACGATATATATATATACAGTGCAATTAATCATGATAAAGGGCTTAATAATCAAATATGACTTTTATTAATATTTTGGTTCATCTATGTTGAACGGAAGAATTAATGTGTTAATAAAATCATAATTTAGAGATCTCATAGTGTATTTTAATACTTCAGTGTACAATCATTATGTAATACTATCTTTACAAGATTCGTCTAATGTAAAGGTGCAAAAGCAATCTTTATTAAATTTGATGAAAAAAAATTACCGTTGAGTGTTGGGATGAGTGGTTCAACACTCTTTTTTTTAAATGAGGTTAAAAAATGAGGTTAAAAAATATTTTTAAACTAATACACTCAATATTAACGAAGAAATGCGTGCACAAACTCAAATATGAACCATTTTGATGTTTCTACACAAGATAAACATGAAAAGGGTTACGTTACCTATCAACTGTATCGTAGGTTTCAGTCAATTTGAGTTAGATGCATGGGATTACAAAATTCTAAGCAGATGATTATGTAACACATTTGACATTTTCTTTGTCATTTGTCAACCCTTTGTTTTGTATTTGAAAACTTGGTTTTTGAAAACTTGGTTTTATTAATCAACCATTTTAAATTTGCACATTTTCGCTAAGGATTCAAAACGCAGTCGAGTAACTAAGCCCAATATCAATCAGATTCATCATAAATTCACCAGCCAACTTAATTTTTAAAATGAATTATTAATTAAAAAATTATTTTAAAAATAAATTTCTTAGTCATGTAAAATTTCCAAAGCAGAAGACTAATTTCCGTTTTAATTGGAAAAGACTTTTGTAAATGTTTCAGACAGCTCAGCCTTTCCTGCAATAAGTTTATAAGTCCATACATGAGTAATATAACATCAAACTAGCTTAAGGATTAAAGTTTTCATACAGTCTCAATTGCCAACCAACCCATTTTTGTAGCATTCAATTATAACACCATAATTTTTAACATTTCTGTATAATCTTGGTCTGTACTCATCCATCAAGCTATCCACAGGTCCAATCTCTTTTTCTGGCTCTGGTTCATGAAATAAGGCCGCAGATAACCTCAAGCTCTCGGAGTTTGTTACTACCCTGTGCATTGGACTTCTGAATATTCCATTACTCATTATCTGCATTTGAGGTTCCATAATATATGTTAAACACAAGAAGTAATAAAATCCAGAACCAGAAATTGTGAAAAACGTTACTGATGAGGCGTATACCTGCATTTGGTCTCCAAGATTGACGACAAGAGCATCAGGGATTAAAGGAACTCTTACCCATTTCTCATCTACTAATAAAGGAACTCTTACCCATTTCTCATCTACTAAAATTTGAAGGCCTTCGACTTGTTTATCTTGCAAAAGAATTGTAATGCCTGATCTATCTGTATGAGGTTTGACTCCAAGAACCAAATCAGGTTTCGAACACCTTGGATAGAAGTTAAACCTAGCATGCATTAGTGCTCGTTCCCCAAATTGCGCAGAGAAACTATTCTCTTTCAAGTTCAGTGACTTTGACATTTCTTTGTACAGAAGATCCATTACAGATTTCACCTTGAAGGAATATTCAATCAAGGGTGGTTTTTCAAAGAGAAAATAATGGGTAATATTGATAGTGGATATTGAAAACCTGACATAACATTTAACAAATTGATATTGTGTTTTCAAAATTTTAATTTCGTTACTTAAGGGTGGTTTGTTCCGACTGAACTACAAATGCTGAATTTCAATTTATTATCTTATTAAACTGAATAATTAAGAATTAATATATAATTATTAGAAACAATTTATCTTTTTCTCCGATAAATTATATATAACTTATTGAATAGCCCTAAAAAGAAATTTATAGCCCTAAAAAGAAATTTTTTTCATTTAGTTAAAATTTAAATTGTAAATTCAAATAAATCAGTTATTGGTTCAGTTCAAACAAACAAACTCATTCGGTTGTCGTTAAGTTAAAACAAGCATCTCCTGAACTTTTTCTTTAAGGAGCAAATTATAATTTGATGGTCACATTTATCGGCAAATAAGTATGCTTATATAGAAATAGCAGCTATTCGAATTTTTTTCATGCATTTAATTTGCTCTGATTAAAAAATTTCAATTAATTTGATGTACTTATGATTATGAAAATTCCAAGCAGATGGTTTTGCTTAACTCAATTAGACCCATTTATGAAAGAGTTCAACTACGTTTTTATAAAGCTAAATATCAAAAAGCTCGTGAAACAAACTTTGGATGCTAGACAAGAGGTGAAAACAAACTTATACTCCGTTCGTACAAAAAAGATAATTCATCTTTTGGTTTGTCCCAAAATATAGTCCACTTTTTTTTTTTTTTTTTTTTTTTTTTTTTTTTTTTTTTTTTTTTTTTTTTTTTTTTTGTATTATAGTTATATTTAAATTGTCTATTATATATTTATTAAATTTTATTTTATCTTCAATAACCCTTATTAATTCCTATTTATTATTCAAATATAATAATAGTTTATGCGTTATTTATGATAGACATAATAGGAACATTGTATGAATAAAATTCTTTAACTATATTTCTTAATCTATTGAAAAACAGAAAGTGGACTATCTTTTTAGAATGAATGGAGTATGAAATAATTAATTTTAGAATATGCTTGACATTACTATTTGAGCTATGGTTGGAAAAATCAATATATGGAAAATATTAGTTAATGGTCACTAAAATTTATAATAAATTTCACATGTTTTAAATAAATTTCACATGTTTTAGTCATAAAAGTTTCATAACAATATTAATGTGCACTCCAAAAATATTTTTTCGAATAACATCTAAAATTTTTAAACTGTTATCACGAGAATATCACAATAATGGGTATTGTAGGTCCGATCCACCAAAGCCCAACCCGTTATGGTATTCGTTTTTAGTTTTTAGTTACGTGTCGACTAACGATCTTAGAGAACCAAAAGCTTCTCCATCTAAAAACTAGAGCCACAAGCAAGCTTCTCCATGGACACCTCCAGTCCGTGGAAACTTTCCCATGGCGTTTCTCTTTTCATTTGTCTAATTAGTCCAAACTCTTTTGTCCCCTATATTTTCTGGACCAATACATAATTTATGAAGAGGAGTTGTTATTCATATTGACACTGTAGGCTATTCTTATAATACAAGTGGTTACAATAGATCAGGGCTAAGCATTAATCTAGGAAATACAAATACAAATTCAAAGTATAACAAACTCTTATCTTTTGACAGCTGGCTTAACACGCCCCCTCAAGATTGGGGTACCAGAACACACACCAATCTTGACTCTATTGACAAGAAACAAAGGTTTAGATAGTGCCTTTGTAAAGATATGTATAAGATATCCGCCAGCTGATCCTTTTAGCAGAAATTATGAGCACACGAAAGCTGACCTTTCTGAACTTGATCTCGATAAAATGTCACATCAATCATCAATCTCTATATGCTTCATTCGTGTATGAAAAACTGGATTTTGACATGTGTAGATTGTGGAAATATTGTCACAATAAATGGTTGGAACCTGTGAATCAAGCTGAAGACCAAGTTCAGCCATTAAATTTTTAATCCAGATTACCTCTGAAGCAGAAGACGCAGCAGCTTGATACTTAGCCTCGGTCGACGACCGAGCAACTGACTTTTGCTTCCTGGAAGACCACGAAACCGGAACGGTGCCAAGATAAACTATATAACCCGAAGTTGAAGTTCGATCATTGAGATTTCCTCCCCAATCAGCGTCTGAAAACACATGTAAACTCAATGATTTTTGCGGAGTAATCAGAAAACCATAATCATATGTGGTTTTTAAATACCGAAGTAATCTCTTCAAAGCATTCCAATGTTGCTCGATTGGACATTGCATGAACTATGAAAGTTTATTGACAGTGTAGCTAATATCAGGCCGGGTCCATGTTAAGTATTGAAGAGCTCCAACAGTTTGTCGATACTGTTTTTCTGCAATCGAAGCTTCAGACTGTGTGGCCCTGACAAGAACATCTTTGACTGCCATAGGTGTTATTATAGGTTTTGCACCTTCCATTCCATTTTTCTCAAGTATATTACGAATGTAATGATGCTGAGAAAGAAATCGAATGTAATGATGCTGAGAAAGAAATAATCCCTTGGTGGTTCATTCAATATCAATACCCAAGAACAAATGAATCGGCTATGGATCCTTAAGAGAGAAATTGACTGCCAATATGCTAATAAATTTATCAATGAACTTCCTGCTATTTCTTGTGAGCAAAAGATCATCAACATATACAAGAAAATAGCACAACACATCGTCATGGTGATAAATGAATAAGGAGTGATCTGTAGTTGCCTGAACAAAATCATTTTGCAAGGCACAACCCTTTAAAGCTTGGTACCATGTGCGCGGAGCTTGATGCAAGCCATATAAAGCTTTCACCAACTTGCAAACATACCCCGGCTTGGTGTTATCAACAAACCCAGGTGGTTGTTGCATGTAAACATCGTCACGAAGAGACCCATGTAAGAACGCATTGTTAACATCTAGCTGGCTGCAAAATTGGCCATTTGTTAGTAACCGCAAGTGTTAAAATAATGCGAATAGTGACAGGTTTGAGCACTGGACTAAATGTGTCATCAAAATCAACCCCAGGCCTTTGGCTATACCTTTGGCTATAAGCCCTTAGCCCACCAATCGCGCTTCTATTTTATCAATGGAACCATCAGCCTTCTTTTTAATCTTGAAAATCCACTTGCAACCCACTAGATTCTGGTTATTTGAAGGAACCAAGACCCACGTCCCATTTTTAATCAAAGCATTATACTCATCTGACATGGCCTGCCTCCATTCTGGACCTTTCATAGCCTGCGAAACACAAGTTGGCTCTACAACTTCCTTATCACCGTCCTTAATTGTAGCAGGAGGACAAGGAAAAGTGCGATTAACATAACCCAGAAGGTTATGACCACGAAGAACGGGCAAGATTTGAGCCCTCCATGTTGGATAAACCCAGAAGGTTATGACCACGAAGAACGGGCAAGATTTGAGCCCTCCATGTTGGATAGTTTGTAGAAGAAAGTTTGAGAGGAAACTGTGATCCATTCATAGTAATCAAGGTTTTCCCAGAGGAATGAACTGTGTTGGACGTGGAGGCCACAACAATTCAAAGTGTAAAAGCGAAAGAGAACTTTTCGAAAGAAGAAGAGAAAAGGATCGGAAAAAAAACTAAGAAGAGTTTTTAATGCTCTGATACCATCTAGACCAATACAGAATTGATGAAGAGGAGTTGTTATTCGTATTGACACTGTAGGCTATTCTTATAATACAAGTGGTTACAACAGATCAAGGCTAAGCATTAATCTAGGAAATACAAATACAAATTCAAAGTATAACAAACTCTTATCTTTTGACAGCTGGCTTAACATATTTTCACTCCTTCATTCCTAAAAAAAAAGGCCTGCTTTCTTAATTTTCTTGAACATATGGCAAAATTCACTCTTAAAGCAGAGAACTTTTATTTTCTCTCTCACAGCACCAACACAAACACCTCATTCTTCAACAATTCCTACGTAAAGCACCGAAACTTGCATTTAATCCGTCTAGCCGAAGATTGAAGTTTAGGCTTTTGTGTAGCGTGAAAGAGAGGAGAATGTTAAAGAAAGCGACAGGGTGCCCGAAGTTCTTACTGGATTGCGAGTGGATGGATTGGATACAGATACTGAGACTCAATCGAGGTCTACAAAACTGGGTTTTGATTGGAATTGGTCGCAATGGATGAATATTCCTCAAAGATATAAACTTATTGGCACTACTTCACTTGCCTTTGTTATATGTAATATGGATAAGGTAATTCTTTGTTATCTTCTGTTAGACAATTCAAAGAAAAGTTCATTTATGTTTATGTTAAGGAGTGATAGGTGTGGCCTTAATATGATATGAGCAACTTTTGACTGCCTTCAATGGTTATTCAAGTCAAGTTGAAAGGGAAAAGCTTATCAATTATGTTTGTGTATCTGGACAAAGGGTAAAGAAGTGAAGTAGTGTTCATTAGGTACCGATTCGGTTCTTTAATTTGCGGGACTAAATTATACTTTTTTTTTAATTCATTTACTAAATTGGGCAGGTAAACTTGAGTATTGCAATTATTCCAATGTCTCATCAGTTTGGGGGGAATGCAACAGTTGTTGGGCTAGTGGAGTCATCCTTCTTTTGGGGGTATGCGCCGAGTCAATTACCAGGTGGTTGGCTATCTAAGATATTTGGTGGCACGTTAGTTCATGAAGGCTTTTAATAATTGTACAGTATTTCACTTTTTACGTATTAAAATTTATTATAGAAATTTATTGGCAACATTTGTTTGTAAGATTATATCTTCTCCCCCAAAAGAAAAGATGCTGTTACACGATGATTGGATATTCATAAAGATGCTGTTACACGATGATTGGATATTCATATATGCACAGCTCGTATATGTGCCAGATGCTCAATTCCCTGGAAACTCGAATCTTTCTATTTGTGCTGTCCATATATCTTTCTAGCTACACGAGGGCTCTTCTACTGTACCTGAGCTACATTTATTAGTAATATTTTTCTCAATGCAATATG